GAAAATTTATAAAAAGACACTTCATTAACTATCTATTTTATGTGTGGGACAAATTTCCTTCCCAGACTATTTTTAACGAAGTTCAGAGATCAATTTCATTACTTCTTTGGAGTACTATACGTTACGGCTTAGTCCTAACCACAAACTAATTGTGGATTCCTTACTTAGTAAAATCATTTTTTCAACTATCCTCCCACATGAATGAAAAATTGGCTTAAAGATAGGATACAAATTGAAATTTGAAAGAGGAAGATGAGTACTAGCATAGGGTTAGACAGTCATGAAATTTTGAACCTACCTTAGTGTACACCTATCGGATTTAGTGGACAATCGGTGAGCAATTTCCTTTGAATTGTCAGTCATTGCGTAAACCTAGACAATGAATAACATACAGAGCCTCGAGTGCATTTTTTATTCTCACGTTTGTGTTCGTTTTGCCTTGAACACCTCCCAGTTCAACTAGTTTTAGAGAGTTTTTCGTGTACCGGAGAATTTACCTCGTACCAAAGACTCACATAGAAGCGACATTCTTACTCTAAATATATAGAGATCATACCTTACTTGAACGTTTCAATATATAGAGATCATCAACAACGTAACTTACTCTAAATGCTCTTGGTATGAGTGTAATATATTTTAACTAGTACTGTCCGAGCCTGTCCACAATTGTGTTTTCCATTTGAACCTAATTATGAGGCACTCTGAGGCACTCTCAATAACACGCAAAGTTTCCCCTTGGACTTTAATTAGATAATTGGTTGTAGGCCCATTACTCTCCTTGAAGTCTCAACCAACTCTCTCACGCAATAGAGGTTTGATTAGCGGATTCACAATATTTTCTTTTGACTTAACATAGTCAAGAAAGATGACCTCATTTTCATTAGTTTTAATGGTATTGTGTCTACGACTGACGTGTTTAGACTTACCGTCATAAACTGCATTCCTCTTATATCCCTTATTTATCTTAGTTCAAATTAAGTTCAAATGAAAAAATGATCCTATGAGAGAAATGAGAATAAATCTGGATCTTTAGATTTTATTCAGTGAAATTGAATGTGCAATAGGTGAAACAAAAATGTGCAGAATAAAAACAATAATGTGGCAGCTTTTTGTGCTTTTTATTCTGCACATCTCAATTTCACGTAAAACACATTTAAGTTTTCCTTTTTGTTCTGTATATTTCAATTTCACATAATGCACATTTCAGTTTCACCAAATGTACAATTTAATTTCACATAATATAATATAATAATCTAACAGTCTATATCCATTTTCATTTCTCTATTTGGAAGTCCTTCTCATCGGAACCCCACCCAATTAGCCATTATATTAAAGTAAAACTATTTTTCGAACATATTTATGGCCAGATCATTAGATGAAGAAAAGAAAATCTTATCAAATGATCAAAATAGAACTCAAGCTTGGAAAATGGTTCCGTTTTTTTTGAAAGAAATAGGCGTAAATTGATAGCACATAATTCGAATTATGGGTAATCCGACAAAAAGATTCCTGACAACCGACGTCCCGAGAACCAGACTCGGAATTAATCACCTCCAACGAAGCAATATAATTCGTTGATCCATTAATGAGCACAAATGAGCCAAAGACGGTTATCGCAATCCTCTCATCAACCACATTCAAACTCAACGTCTTACAAGTAGGAGCAACAAAAATGAAAGCAAGTACACAACAGAATAAAAAGTCACAAAAATAAAAAAAAAAACAAAACAGATAAAGTAGATCCTATGTCCGAGCTTGCTAAATCGCACGATCACCCGAACTTTTGCCTCCAATCTGACTATAATAACTTCGGCGGGCTCATAGGGCAAAGCCCGCCCCTCCCCGTTTTTTGTTCCATCCAGAGACATGTTATCTTCCCCCTTCTTGTTTCCCTCATGTGTCTCCCAGATCCTCCTTCTCTTCTGCTCCCCTGAAGTCTCTTCCTTTGTTTCCACGCTCACGCCTTTAGTAATGCTTTGAGCTGATTGTGATATTGTCTCTTTCTCTCCTTCACTCGTCTTTTCCTCGGACCTGTAATCCCCTGTGTACCCACGCTCTCTGCCATAGCTCGATGAACCCTCTAGGAGCCGCTTGCCATCTCCTGTGGGGCTAGTTATCACCCCACTTCCCGCCCTTAAGATGGACCCCAAATCTTTTTTGTAACACTAAATCTTCTTCACAATTCAAAGGACAAAATTTATCTAAATGTCCAATGAATCCGCATATGAAACAAAAATTGGACAATCTCTCATATTTGAAATCTATCCAAAAACTTTTTCATTTTTTTTTTCCAGATTTTTTCCCCTTTTCAATGATTTATCAACCTTCATGGACACCCTAACCCTCATATAAGACTCCCACTTCTCACTCTTCTGAATGTCATCATATTATATATATTTCCCAATAAAATTTCCAACTCGCCTTGCAGTACCTAGATTAACTAGGCTATAAGGAACATTATGAATCTAAACCTAAAATTCAATCTCATTTAAAACAATTTTGTGTGGGATATCATCAGGTTTAACTTCTTTTAACATCAACAGATTAGGCTCAAATTGTTGTGGGATATAACAACTTCGGCGGGCTCATAGGGCAAAGCCCGCCCCTCCCCGTTTTTTGTCCCATCCAGAGACATGTTATCTTCCCCCTTCTTGTTTCCCTCCTGTGTCTCCCAGATCCTCCTTCTCTTCTGCTCCCCTGAAGTCTCTTCCTTTGTTTCCACACTCACGCCTTTAGTAATGCTTTGAGCTGATTGTGATATTGTCTCTTTCTCTCCTTCACTCGTCTTTTCCTCGGACCTGTAATCCCCTGTGTACCCACGCTCTCTGCCATAGCTCGATGAACCCTCTAGGAGCCGCTTGCCATCTCCTGTGGGGCTAGTTATCACCCCACTTCCTGCCCTTAAGATGGACCCCAAATCTTTTTTGTAACACTAAATCTTCTTCACAATTCAAAGGACAAAATTTATCTAAATGTCCAATGAATCCGCATATGAAACAAAAATTGGACAATCTCTCATATTTGAAATCTATCCAAAAACTTTTTCATTTTTTTTTTCCAGATTTTTTCCCCTTTTCAATGATTTATCAACCTTCATGGACACCCTAACCCTCATATAAGACTCCCACTTCTCACTCTTCTGAATGTCATCATATTATATATATTTCCCAATAAAATTTCCAACTCGCCTTGCAGTACCTAGATTAACTAGGCTATAAGGAACATTATGAATCTAAACCTAAAATTCAATCTCATTTAAAACAATTTTGTGTGGGATATCATCAGGTTTAACTTCTTTTAACATCAACAGATTAGGCTCAAATTGTTGTGGGATATAACAACTTCGGCGGGCTCATAGGGCAAAGCCCGCCCCTCCCCGTTTTTTGTCCCATCCAGAGACATGTTATCTTCCCCCTTCTTGTTTCCCTCCTGTGTCTCCCAGATCCTCCTTCTCTTCTGCTCCCCTGAAGTCTCTTCCTTTGTTTCCACACTCACGCCTTTAGTAATGCTTTGAGCTGATTGTGATATTGTCTCTTTCTCTCCTTCACTCGTCTTTTCCTCGGACCTGTAATCCCCTGTGTACCCACGCTCTCTGCCATAGCTCGATGAACCCTCTAGGAGCCGCTTGCCATCTCCTGTGGGGCTAGTTATCACCCCACTTCCTGCCCTTAAGATGGACCCCAAATCTTTTTTGTAACACTAAATCTTCTTCACAATTCAAAGGACAAAATTTATCTAAATGTCCAATGAATCCGCATATGAAACAAAAATTGGACAATCTCTCATATTTGAAATCTATCCAAAAACTTTTTCATTTTTTTTTTCCAGATTTTTTCCCCTTTTCAATGATTTATCAACCTTCATGGACACCCTAACCCTCATATAAGACTCCCACTTCTCACTCTTCTGAATGTCATCATATTATATATATTTCCCAATAAAATTTCCAACTCGCCTTGCAGTACCTAGATTAACTAGGCTATAAGGAACATTATGAATCTAAACCTAAAATTCAATCTCATTTAAAACAATTTTGTGTGGGATATCATCAGGTTTAACTTCTTTTAACATCAACAGATTAGGCTCAAATTGTTGTGGGATATAACAACTTCGGCGGGCTCATAGGGCAAAGCCCGCCCCTCCCCGTTTTTTGTCCCATCCAGAGACATGTTATCTTCCCCCTTCTTGTTTCCCTCCTGTGTCTCCCAGATCCTCCTTCTCTTCTGCTTCCCTGAAGTCTCTTCCTTTGTTTCCACGCTCACGCCTTTAGTAATGCTTTGAGCTGATTGTGATATTGTCTCTTTCTCTCCTTCACTCGTCTTTTCCTCGGACCTGTAATCCCCTGTGTACCCTCGCTCTCTGCCATAGCTCGATGAACCCTCTAGGAGCCGCTTGCCATCTCCTGTGGGGCTAGTTATCACCCCACTTCCTGCCCTTAAGATGGACCCCAAATCTTTTTTGTAACACTAAATCTTCTTCATAATTCAAAGGACAAAATTTATCTAAATGTCCAATGAATCCGCATATGAAACAAAAATTGGACAATCTCTCATATTTGAAATTTACCCAAAAACTTTTTCATTCTTTTTTTTTAGATTTTTTCCCCTTTTCAACGATTTATCAACCTTCATGGACACCCTAACCCTCATATAGGACTCCCACTTCTCACTCTTCTGAATGTCATCATATTTTATATATTTCCCAATAAAATTTCCAACTCGCTTTGCAGTATCTAGATTAACTAGGCTATAAGGAACATTATGAATCTAAACCTAAAATTCAGTCTCATTTAAAACAATTTTGTGTGGGATATCATCAGGTTTAACTTCTTTTAACATCAACAGATTAGGCTCAAATTGGCATGACCTCCTTCAAACACATGCATCATATCAAAAGGATGGTAGAAAGTAAATGGGTACCTTCCTTCACCAACTTCTTTAATTGAAGTACCTTTCCCCGGCCTAACATCAGTTCTTTATATTTCATCATCACATTAGCTGGGCCTCTAAGCAGTACTCATACGGAGTATCATGGATCTAGTCTTCGAGCACCTTCCACTAATTCGGGTCTACAAAAACGGCGAAGTCGAAAGGCTCCTGGGAACCGAAACCGCTCCCGCCGGCATCGATCCCCACTCCGGCGTTTCCTCCAAAGACATCCCGAACATCCTCCCCTCTTCTCCCGAAGTATATGTCAGACTCTATCTCCCAAAACTCGCCGCCGGCAGCGCCGACAAACTCCCCCTCCTCGTCTATTTCCACGGCGGCGGTTTCTTCGTGTCCTCTCCCGCCTCTGTCTACTATCACAACTACATCAACGCCTTGGTTTCCAGATCAAAGGTTATGGCGGTTTCCGTGCACTACAGAAGGCCGCCGGAGCACCCTTTACCCGTCGCGTATCACGATTCCTGGGCGGCGCTCCGCTGGGTTGCTTCTCATCGAGCCTGTGAAGGTCCGGAGATCTGGTTGAACAGACACGCGGACTTCCGGCGCGTTTTCATCGCCGGCGATAGCGCCGGCGCCAACATAGCTCACAATCTTGCCATGATGGCCGGAAGTGATGAGGAATCCGGGTTGGGCGTTGATATCGTCGGAGTCGCGTTGGTTCACCCGTTCTTCTGGGGGTCGGACCCTACCGGGTCGGAAAAGGACGACCCGGAGAAGAAGGCTAAGTTGGATAAGTTTTGGCCGTTCGTTTGTCCGTCGAACCCGAGCAATGATCACAAGTGGGTCAACCCGGTTGGTGAAGGTGCTCCAAGCTTGGCAGGTTTGGGCTGCAAGAGGGTGTTGGTCGGTGTGGCTGAGAAGGATATATTGAAGGATAGAGGGCTACTTTATTACGAGGCTTTGGGTCGGAGCGGGTGGGCCGGAACGGCAGAGACCCACGAGAGTGAAGGAAAGGACCATGGGTTTCATTTGCATGACATGCAGTCCGATGAGGCCCAATATTTGAGCAGCAAATTGGCCCATTTCTTTAACCAGGATTGAATACCTGTATGGCTGTATTCCGGGTTTTAATGTTTTACGGGTTTTGTATATCAGCAATTTGGCATGTCTATAATTATCATATGTAATTGCACTCTCTATTAAATACCCAAATTATTTTGCAAAGTCAACATTTTTTGTCATCCAATAATAAAAGTCAACCCACCATATTGATAATTAACTCAATTTTTAGTAATTAAAATTTACTTATTCAGAAACTACATTAAAATATATTCAAAGTTGCAAACTCCAAATTAGAATATAGTTAAAAATTAATATCCTAATTAAACAAATAAAATGAAACTGTTTGACCAAGAAAAGTCAAATTTGCAAATCAATTTGGGACGGAGGTAGTAGATTATTATAATTATTTAAATTTAATAGCATCAAATTATTTACATAGATTAATCTGGTTTTGATAGGCAAATACTTCATTTTTCGTTTCAAAAAACAGGTTGATAAATTAAGCAGCTAGTTCGATCTTGCATTGTTGATAAATTGGCAAGCTAGTTTGATCTTGCATTTTTTAGTCTAGGAAAGACGTCCAGTGTAATGCTGTTGAGTACTTAATCTCTTTCTTCTCTACATACTTCAAGCATTATTTGTCATTGCATAATAGAAGCATTAAGAGAAGCATTTTGTCATTGCTAACTGCAAGTTTTACTAGTATCAAGTTTGCAAATGTGGAGATGATCTTGTCATTGCTAACGGCTAGTTTTACTAGGATCCGGATTCTCTGCCGTGCCTTGCAGCATCCGATGGCAGGGCAGCTATGAGTAGGGTCTCGGGATGGGAGAAAGAATGGGCCCCAAGATCTTGCACCGTTGATTTTTTGATCGGATTGTCCGAACAGATCAAGGCACCCTACTTTGCTTAAAGCAAGTCAGAGGCTCCAGATCCGTTTTACTAGTATCAAGTTTGCAAATGTGAGGCGATCAACGAACGGTACGGATTTAACAAAGTTTGTTGATTCTATGTCTAGTTTGTTTAGCCTTGAAAATGAGCAAAAACATACGATGAGAGTGGATCACCCGGGCACCTAGAGTCGGTTCAGACCCGGATATAAACGGATCAGATTTAGGCTTCTCTAACCAATGAGGCAATGATCGGGAACGACCAATCGGGGACTGGACTGTCCGGGACTGAGTTCCATCTCGGTTTGGTTTAATTGAGTCGTACCAAACTAAACAAAATCAAACTGAAATTGGATCGTATGCAATTTGATTTGTGTTTAGTGATATTTCTTCCAAATCGTATTAAATCGAACCGAATTGAACTAAAAGAATGTAATAAAACCTTCATGTGTTATTAAAAAATTCAAATCGAACCCAACTGAACTAAGTCGATCCAAATCAAACCCAAAAATTATACGGTTTTTATATGGGGTATTTTGTGTTTGCACCCTGTTTTATATGACAAATTAGACTATGTACCCTAAATTCAATATCCTTAGTATTTGCACCCTAAATTAAATTGGGCTATTAGTTAGACTTCTAAAAATACATGAATGAAATAATACCCTCCTGTCAGCTAAATAGAACACAAAACCCAGACTTCCAAGTTCGGTGGGAAGCTGGGAGGGAATTCAACCGAAAGGAAATTTGTTCAAATATACCTTCTCGCTGCTGCTGGTGGATAGATTGGCAATTCTCATGCCTCTTGCTATAATAAATACTCTGTAATACGACAAGAGCCTTCAGTCAAAGATAATATAAAGATTTGTTTTGCTGCTTGCACTGCTATGATATACACACATTACCTAGTACACACAAAACACATGCTTCCCACACAACTCTAAAGCAGGGCTACAGAACACAAAACTCAAGCTGCAAAAAATCCCATAAGTATATAACACAACATAAGAAATTTATATTGAATCAAGTGCACTTCTTTAACTTATACCTTCAGACGTTCGTCTAGGTGCTACTGAATCCACCAATATGTTATTGCAAACTTCATTCATCCCAACCCTAACTCAGTCTATGCACCTTAGGAACGGTGAGATGATTCAAAATGACGAAATATGAGAAAGAAGAATGCCTCAGGACGGTTTGTTACTTGACTAAGGACATTACAGTCATTTCGTAACAAAGTTAACTTCTTAACAGCTAGAAAACGGAAACAGGGTGCAAATACTAGGATTTTAAATTTAGGGTGCATAGTCTAATTTGTTCTATAAAACAGGGTGCAAATACAAAATATCCCTTTCTATATTTGGTAATACTTTCAATCAATTTCAAACCGAATCCATATTCATAGAAACCGAACCGACCACGGCCTACAGCTGCGTGACTACAACCCGGCTCATTTTCTTAACAAGTTCCGTGTTCTCGATTCGCCTATTTCTCTCGGATATGCTCTCTGCCCGACCATATGCACCGTCATTAACGAAACCACTTCTCTGTCGCCGACTCGCCGGACTCCGGTCTACCTCCGTATTGGTGGCTGCTCCTCTTTGACGCCTATCTATTCCGGTCGTTTCATCTCGTTAAATCGCAACTTCCAGAGATAACAACGGAATAAACAATTTAACAAACTTCTAGTAAAATATGCTTCGCCTTCACCCCCGGAATGCGCGAAAGTATCTGCGATTCAATCTCCGTCGCTTTCTTTCGTCTTCAATGCGTAAAGGCCCCGCGAATTCCGTCGAAGGTACTCCGATCAACTTGAAGAATTCGCAACTTGTGCCTCCTCTGCCCACTCCCAGTCCCCGCCACCCTCCTGCCGCTCTATCGTCCCCTAAACGCTCGCGTGCTTTACTCCTTACCCTATCCGCAACCATAGTGTCCGCCATCGTCGCTCCCTACGCTATAACTTTGATGCACGACGAAGAAGACGGTAAGTTCAAACGGAAAGCCGGTGGTGTATACAGAGAAATAGAAAATGCGGTTGAGAGATCGAAGGATTCATTTACAGCGACAATTAATAGAATGAAGCAGACTGGTACGGCCGCTTCGGTTTTGTGGAAGTCGCTGAGGTCGTTAATGTCATCAGCTAACCATGAGGTCCGAGCTGGTTTTGAGATCAGGGTTGCGGCATTGTTGGCTGACATAGCCGCCGCGAGTGAGAGCCGTCGAGCGGCCCTGGTTGGTGCTGGTGGTGGCGCTGTAGTGGATTGGCTTCTGGAGACCGTGTCGTCCCACAGGGAGAACTCAGGCACTCTGGCCGAGTCAGCTAGGGCTTTGGCATACTTAATTGCTGATCCAAACGTATGTGAGACGGTTCTAGGCAGGCCTCACGCTGTGCCTAATTTACTTAGGTTTATTTTCTCTGCTCAGCCGAGAAGATCAAAGAAAGTGAGTTCATTTTACCTTTTCTTTAAATGCATACAAGAAATATGCACTTGAGTGATGGCTTATAACAACGTTATTAACCTGTAGAGTTGTAGACATTATAGATGTTTTTGGTCCATTTCATTCATTTACTTTTCTTTTTATTTCATTCAAACTATTTCCTTTTACATTGACATCAATGCATTGGACTTTCTGGTAACAGCAAAATAGAAGTACTTCTTTTGGTCTTTCCGATTCTTTAAAAGGCAGGAGCATGCTTGTTGCAGCCATAATGGACGTGGTTACTTCCCACTGTCAAAGTGCAGACAAAGTATTATTTAAACCTCTTCTACCAGAAAACGCTGAGATGAGAGATATTGCAGCTGCCATTGAAGTTGTAGAGGAAGGTGGCATGCACTGGGATGATCCACACCAGGATGAAGATAATGATAATGGAGGAACAGGTGTAAAGGGCATTGGAATAAAGATTCTTGAAGGCACAACAGTTCTTGGGCTTTCAAGGACTAAAGGGATTGTAGAGACGGGGCTTTCTGATGGTAACCATACTGCCAAGCATGCGCACAAGAATCTCTCATTTAACAAAATAAGTGACAGCTCTGCAAAATCAAATTTGTCCTCAGCTGTTGTTCCTGGACTCTGGGATGATTTGCATTCTGAGCAAGTTGCCGTTCCTTTTGCTGCATGGGCATTGGCGAATTGGGCAATGGCATCGGAAGCTAATAGGACACACATTCAGGAACTGGATCAAGACGGGCAAGCAATTATGGCTGCTTTGATGGCACCAGAAAGATCTGTAAAATGGCATGGAAGTCTGATTGCTAGATTGTTGTTAGAGGACCAAAAGCTACCATTAAATGAAAATGTTTCTGATTGGAGTTCATGTCTTCTTTCTATTATTTCTCAAGCAAGCAAAGCTCAGGATTTGCCTCTGACTCACATTGCTTTATCTGCATTTCTTGTTGGTCTTGAGAGAAGTGCTAAAGTGCAAGAGGTTGCAGTTGAAAAGGGCCTTCATTTAATGAGAGGGACGGCTAAACAGACAAAGAAGCATGTGTCTTTGCAAGAAGCATTGGCAAAGGCCTTGGAGCTGCTCTACACTAGGGATATGCATATGTCATTTGAAGAAAGCCAAAAATGGTCTGGCATTCTACTTCCTTGGGTTTTTGCGGAATCTTCTTCTGACACAATGCGGTCATCAGCCATAAGTATCCTTTCATGCATTCTTGAAGATTACGGACCATCATCGTTATCAATTTCTCAAGGATGGTTAACTCTTTTGCTGAGTGATGCTTTGAATTACAGGAAGGCAGCTTTATTGAAAGGGAATAGTGAGCTAAGGACCGACAAAGTGAAGGTTTGTAGCAGTGATGTAGTTCTTAATTTAAATGTTTAGCTGATAAAGTAATATGAATAATTTACCCAAAAAAAAAGTAATATGAATAATAAAAAGTAATGATGATTTAACAGTATCCTATTTTTAAAATGTCCACAATTTTATTTAATTTCTGCAGACACAAATTGACCAAGCAAATATAGTTTCAGCAACCCAAATCGCAAATCAATTGGCTATAGCGGTTGTTAACCTAGCAGGAATGCAGCTTGGAGTGGACACTGAAACAGATGATTCATTTCCATTGGCTGATCTTCTCTCACTAGAACCTTTTGTTGGAATGTTTAAGAATCTTAAGAAAGAAAAGGTTCCTAAGATTAATGCTGCAGATTCAGCATTGGCCACTCTGAAAGGAATCAAAGCTTTGACCGAAATATCGGCTGAAGACTCTCTTTGTCTACGCAAAATAACTGATTTTGGAGTCCTCTGCTTGATAAGGCGTTTGTTATTAGAAGATGATTATGAACAACTATCAGCAATTGAAGCATATGATGCATCACGTGCCTCTGAGTCACCAGAAAACCAGTCATCTGTTTCAGGTGAAGCTTCTGCAAATGTTAATCCTAGTGACACATCAAGTGTTCGGGTACCTCCCACGGCTCATATTAGAAGGCATGCCGCTAGGCTATTAACCGTGCTTTCTGTCCTTCCAAAAGTAAAGAAATCAGTAGTTGCTGATAAAGCTCTGTGTAGATGGCTTGAAGAATGCGCTGAAGGAAAGATTCCAGGTTGCAATGACCTCAAAATTCAAAGTTATGCCAGGGCAACACTACTGAACATATCTTGTGATGACCAAACTATTGAAGAATCTACAGATTGTGATGCCTCTCATGGAAGCACAAATAAAACAATAACTTGCCCTCAATATGCTGATATGATATTTTTAATTAATCCTGGAAAGCCACACTGGAAGTGTATGGAGAATGCAATTCCAACTCCAATAGATATATCCTCTGCGTCTATTGATGATTCTGTAAGACCTGAGAAGGAATCTATGACCACAGATTCCAATGGTGATAGCTCCTCAACCCGTGCATCTGAAGCATTGAGTTGCTCACGACCAGAGAGTCCTTTATTTGATGTGGTGTTTATTCATGGGCTCCGCGGAGGTCCCTTTAAAACATGGCGATTGTCTGAGGACAAGTATTCCACTAAGTCTGGCCTTGTAGAGAAAATTGATGAAGAGGCAGGGATGCAAGGAACATTCTGGCCTGGGGAATGGCTTTCGACTGATTTTCCTTGTGCTCGACTGTATAGTCTCAAATATAAGGTTCATATTTTTCCATGTCTCTGTTAAGTACTCCCTGAGTTCCAAATTAAGTTTCCCATAAGAAGTGGAGACTATTAAGTATAGTACCTAATATGGTTAGACTCATTTAGCGAAAGTGAGAATTATAATTTGGGATGGGGGAGTGCTATTTTACATCCAACAGTCCAACATTATGGAATTGCAAATTGTTTTGTCAGTGACCAAATGTTTTTGGTCATTGGACATT